TGAGAAGTGTTGGTGGAGTGGTGGACCCTGGTCGGTCTATATAGGTGTTGTGGACAGGGCCGTCCCTTTGATGAGGCAGCATGAGGCTGTTGGCTCAGTCTACATCTCTTTAGGTCATGTGGCTGGGCGGCAGGAAGAGTGGCATGGCCGCTCTTCCTGCCGCCCATGTTTGCAGTATGCTTGCCACCCCCTCTCTGCACAGAGCGTCTTAGGTTGCTAAGAGCCAGATGGGGAGAGGTTTTTTTTGCTTTTCGCAAACTAAGGTCACTGGTTGCCACGAGCTGGATGGGAAGCCGGCCAGAGCATCCCAGGTTGCTTAGAGCTGGACGGGGAGATGCAGATCTCTTACACATCTTTCCATCTGGCTCTTAACGGTATCACTTTCCACCAGCACACACACCCCACCTGCTACTGATTGCGTGAACCACCAGCACACCCCCACCCCCACGTATCAGGCAGCAAAAAGGCTAGGGATACTCCTGGTTGTAGATTTCACACAGATGCAGCTCTCTACAGAATGATGGGCATGGATGGATCCTTGGATCAACATTCATAAAGATAGTGGAAAGAAGAGAGCATCAGAGATTGCGAAAGGTCCGGGGCATCCTTGGGCACTCCAAGGACAAGAGCAATGCGACCCCATATCGCGCCATTGCCAGTGAGTGGGGCCTTTACTGTGCTATAATGTGTAATATGCTTTAATACAACCTGAGCAGAATCACTGTCCTTATACCCAGGGGCATCCCTAGCCTTTTCCCCACCTGAGGCATTGGGGGAGGGGGCGGTGGTGGTGATGGTGCCTGCTAACCGGGGATTGCATTATACTGGTCAGAACATTCCGCTCAGCTCCTGGTAAATAGTGACGTCATTGGTTGCCAGGAGCTGAGCAAGAGTGTCCCAGGTTAATAACAGCTGGGTTATTAACCTGGGACACTCTTGCTGGGTTATCCCACCTAGCTCTTAGCAACCTCGGACACTCTGCCTTGAAAGAGGGCGGCAGGCACACTGCAAATACTGCCCCCCAAGATGACACCAATAGATGCCTCCTAGGGAAATGGCCTCATTATAGGGACAGCCCTGGTTATACCCACAAAATGTGCTTTAACCATCTCAGGAACGGAGCGTTTTTTTCATTTTGCACACACGTTTTAAAATATAATTTTTTTAATAACATTATATATTTTATATAAGCAGAGGTGAAAACATTATATATTTTATATAAGCAGAGGAGAAAATGGTGGCTGCATATTTGCCCAAATGTTCATCAAATGTTGAGTAAAAAATACACTAAAATGAATTTTAGTGCACACATACAAAATACAATAGATACAAAACCTGTCAAGCCAGAGGCGTAACTAGGAACCTCAGGGCCCCGATGCAAGAAGCCATGAAGCCCCATCCCCCTCGGCACGCTGTGGAGCACTGGCCTGCTCGGAGCTGTAGTCCCAGGAGGCAATGTCGAGGGCCTCGCCGGTAACTGGGCTGGGCCCTCTTCTTCCTTTCCAGGCCCCTGGGGGTATAACAATGAAGGCATGCTGGGACTTATAGTTCAACTACAACCAACATGCCTTCATTGTCCCTATTCACCCCTCCACATCAACCAGGGATCTACAAGTCCCATCGTGCCCTCATTGTCCTTTTACACCCCCACATATAAATCACCCAGGGAACTACAAGTTCCAGCATGCAAGCCCCCTGCAGTAGTTCACTGGGTGATTTGTGAGAGGTGTACAGGGACAGTGAGTGCATGCTGGGACTTGTAGTCCCCTGTATGACTAGAAGGCTGTTTTAATGAATTCCTCATGAAAATACTAGTAATACAATGGCATTATAGTGCAGTAAATTTCAAGTTCAACTATGTTCTATTCTATGTTTCTATAAAGACATTGTATTACTAGTACTTTCATGAGGACAGTAATTAAAACAGCCTTCTATCATACATGGAACTGTATGTAGTTTTGTAGTGCTGACTTGTAGTTTTCTAGTAATACAATGTCATTATAGAGCATGGAATAGAATATAGTCAGTTCCAAATTCAGCCATGTTCTGTTCCATGTCCTATAATGGAAAGCACTTACCTCACATGTCACGGTCCTCTCAGCTGAAGGAAACTCAAGTAGGCTGTAAAAAAAAACAAAAAAAAACACAAACTACCGTGGGGGACAGCGGCCAGGAACATCCAGACTGGGCTCACTTTACTATCAGGATGGCTGCTGCTGGGTGCTAGCGGCCGTGTTCACGGCCGGCCCGCCCGCATCACTGCTATCGACCGGTGCAACCCCCTCCTGCTCGTCCGTCTGCCTTTGCCGCTCTATCGGGCCCCCCGCTTGTTACTCCACTGCCACGGTCTGGGCCCTTCTTCCTTCCTGGGCCCCTCCCCCCCGAGTGGCGGAACGCCAGGGCCCGGTCGCGCCGGCGACCACTGCGACCCTGGTAGTTCCGCCACTGTGTCAAGCCTTAAAATTGTGCACGCCCATCCAATGGTGAAAAGCAATGGCACTCAAAATTGTCCATAGGTGACCCTTTAATCAGTGCTCATCAGTTTAGAGTTAACACGGAATTATGGCCCTAGAATAATTGCTCTCACTCCGACTTTTGCATCATTACCAAACCTAACGTGTGGCGCAATCGCTGTTTACATGCCCTACGTGCTTGTTTGCATTGGGGGCATTGGGGTTCCTTTTAATTTTTTATTTTATTTAGTATTCTTTATTCTTTTGACATTTTTGTACTTGACTTTATTGCTATCACAAACGAGCTAACAAGCAGATTAGTAGATTGCACCATGACAACGTTGGATTCGCTAGATGTGTGAGTATGTATTTTGGGGAACACCCACCAAATAAGTAAAAAGGGGTTAAAAAATAAGGTGGGGGGGATTTCCTCTTTTAAGCCCTCCTGTTAGTGTTATAGTTGATCTCACTTATTGTCATTGTCACAAACATGGGATTCCAAATGAAGGCAACCCTATAAAACTGAAATGTTAGATTCAGATGGAGGTGAGTCAGGCTTGCTGACACATAGAAGATTATTCTCAGCTAAATCTACCAGTTACATTTCTAATAGAAAACTATATTACTAAGATGTACTTCAATTTCCATGCAAGTATGAGTGATTTAAATAAAGTAGCATTTCAATAATGTGATGGAAATGGTTTTCTAAAGATAGGCTTTGGGAAAAAAATGGTTTTCAGTTTCAATTTACTGTCTGTCACAGTATTAGGCCAGGAGGCAGACATGGATGTTTGGAAGCTTGTTTGCTGAGACCCCTGTCAATGTGTCTTTCACTAAAAAGAAAATTACATATTACAGCCTTCTAGAATACGGGATTATTGTAACATCCGGGGACCAAGAAAAAAAAAATGAATCCTGTGTAGAACCAGTCACGATTGGACTTTTGCAAGGATCTGAATATTCATGTTCTAACTGAACATGCCTATTTGTCTATTCTGTTATTAGGTTTTATTTACTTTGAGTCTGACGCTGGATCTTAAAGCCAAACTCCAAGATCCAGACTTCACCTCCACCCCTATTGTGATGATGTCATCTCTGCTCTCTACATTTATAATGTGTGATGGTGGCACCCAGGGGCAGGCTGTCCCTATAATGAGGCAGCCGGAAGAGCTACTGCCAGCACCCCTGGACCAGGCCACACCCACCCTGGAAACGCACATCCAACACCAGCACCCCACCCCAGCCTCCAGACATTAGCAAAGATCCTGGCCTCAGGCGGCGATTGGTGTAGGGACACTCCTGCCCAGAGGTGTTTTTACCAGGCGCACCTCTGGGTACCCAGGTTAAAATGTTGAGAAGCTGTTAGAATACCATGATTACTGGTGTAGACTAAATAAGCCTAAGAATAATACAATCTTTTTAACTGAAGAACAGTGAATTGGTCTGAAAACTGTAATGTCACATTATGAGACATGGCTGAAATAAAAAGCAAATGTATTATTGCTTAGAGAACAAAATAAATATTAATAGATACAAATTACACAATGTTTCAAAACTAGATTGTGCATACAATGCATCATCCCCATATCTCAATGGAGACCCGGGGCACTCAGAATAAGACTTGCGGCTTGTGCTCTGGGTGCCAGGGTCCTGGTGGTACCTTCTCAGGGGAAGGGGCCATGATGTCCTACACTCTTTGTTCAGTCTCCCAGCTTGAGTGACACTGGGAGGGTTATTTACAAAGGAGCTGCAGGATTAAGCCGAAGCATCGGCTAATCCTTTGGCTCACTTTGGCCGCCAGAGCCCTCCGGTTCAGCCGGTACCGGAGGACTGCTGTACGGGCTATTCACAATAGTTCGTACAGCAGCCGAAGGCAAGCGAACAGCTCAGCCGCGCCGTGCACATATGCTTAGGCTTGGGTGAGCCGTAGTCACAGCCAAAGTGAGGAGAACGATCTGCAGAAGCAAACCGTTTTCCCCGCAAATGACAACAACTGGGCGGAGCCAGCCATGATGTCATGGCTGGCTCCGCCCAGTTTTTCTCATTCAATGACAGCCCAGCGTCCTCAGGCTATTTGAATATGAGAATAGGGCAAAAAAGCAGCGAGTAAACTGGAGGTTAGGCTCAGCCGATCCAACATCTGGATCGGCTGAGTCTAACGGTCCCTTTGCTTCGGCTGAGCCGAACATGCTGAGCATGTTTGGCTGAACCAAAGCCACCTGAACCTAGCCGATGTACGACTGATTTTAGCTGATTCAGACGTACGCGGATGAAGTGAATAGTCAAACGGCATTCGGCTCACTTCACTTTGGCTTGGTTATTCACTCAGCTGCCTTCGGGAGCTTAGTAAATTAGCCCCTGGGTGTTATTCCATTTGGAAGACTGAGGACATCTTGTGGTGAAGTAGAGGTATTGCAAGGGACAGTGCTGGACTGAAGGAAAGTATTGCAGCCGGAGCTATTCTTTCTTTTTTCTTTTCTTTTCCAATGCCTCTAAGAAAAGTTAGACTTTTTATCAGTGATTCAACTTTTTTTTATTTTTCCACAGCCCCCGATGCTCCTTACACGCACTGGAAACAAACAGTCTTCTACCTGGAGGATTACCTAACAGTACGAAGGGGGGAAGAGCTATATGGAAGCATATCAATGAAACCAAACGCTAACAACATTGTAAGTCCTTTTTCAGTCTGCTTGTGTGTTTAATGTTCTGATGATCAATAGCGTTTGAGTAAGAAATAGGCATTTGTAGTCAATAAAACATACAAGGAACGATTGTATTTGAAGCACTCAGAGCAACCAATCAGAATACATCTCATATTTCTCTGACTGCAGTATAGGGGGTTGTAGTTAGGACTTTCCTATCACTTGCAGTACTGACAGGAAGTGGGGAAAAATCTCCCCAATAGGGATACAAAGAACAACACAAGCTGCTGGAGGCTTTACACTTCCTCTACTCTATCTAAAACTAAATAATATGTTTTAGATAGAGCTGGGCCTTAACTGTCTAGACAAGACAAGTGTAAATAAGAAGAAGCAGGCCCATTGATAAAGTCCAGGAACCCATGCCAATTTAAGATGCATTCTGATTGGCTGTTACAGGTTGCATTGTTGCACTTTGCTAACTCACCTTTGCTATAGTGAATAAACCCGCAGTGTGCATTTGAATTTCTGGTCCAAGTGCCCCCCTTTCCCCTCATCTTTACAGGAAGGTAGCACTTTAATGTATCACTGAATTACAGCTATTTCAAAGATTAAAGCAGAACTCCATCCAATAATAGCAAGACAAAAATGAATAGCTATTTAAAAGATAAATAACAAAACCTGCATTTCCTTCAATCTAGAAATATCCCCTGCAGTACTTTTTTGTGCCACTAGATGTCCTAAGTCTGATGGCAAGCATCATTCAACTGACCTCCTCTGAACCTAGGTCATCCTGGTCCTGGACAGTGAAAGGAGAAGCAGCACAGTGATAAGCTCATCTCTCTCTCTCAGCTTGTTTTATCCTCCTATCAGCATGCCTCTTGTCAGCGCATGAACTGATTGGCTGTGTGTGCTACTTCTTCCTCTCACACTCTGGCCCTTCTGTACTGCAAGAAGGTTTTACCAGGTCAAATTCAGGTACTTTTACTGCTTGCATTTAAAAAAAAATGTATCAATGTATTATTGATTACAGAGTTGCATTCATTTGTGTCTTTTATATTTTCCTAGAGATCAGCTTTTAAAGGAGAATTATGAAGTGAGCGATTTTCACTCAGCCTCATAATCTAAGTCCGACCTGTGACAATGAAACTGTCACAGGTCGGCTCAGTAGATCGGGAAGTGAGCTAACACATACCGTCGCTCGCTCACTTCTCGATCTATCCCTGCAGAGAGCCCTGACTGTCACTCACGGCTCCCTGCAGGGATTCCTCCCCTCCCCTGTCCGATCCTCCAGCGCTGACTGGCGAAACAGACGGGAGAGGGGGCGGGCACAGCTGGCTCTGCCGCTGTATAGGCAGAGCCAGCTATCAATACCGCAGCTGCGTGGATCCAGACAGAATTGTCGGGATCCGTCCCGGCTGCGGCATCTCAGTATACCGCGAGCTGTAGCTCGCGGTATACTGAGCTTTGGGTCACGGGAGAACGCTAGTTTGTGTTCTCCCATGACCCTTAGGAGAACTATGGGGAAAAGCCCTGACCCCATAGTTCTCCTTTAATGCAATCACATTCACAGGGAGGGGCTTATTTTTTCCTTTTGTGGTTATACATTGACTCCAGTTTTGTATACGCACTCAGGTGTCCTTTGTTTCCTCAGCACCCTATTTGTGTTCACAGTCTGATCCTCTTATGCAGATGAAGGCAGTGTCACCTGCCAAAGCTACATTATTCCTGATGTGTGCTGCTGATCAGTATGCAGGCTGCAGAAGGAGAACGACTGCTCGCTGCTGGCACTGCCACTCTCTCATGGTGCTTCATCCACAAATGATAACATACCTCATTTCTCATGCTGATATCCAACTAGAAGGAAATATGTTATTTTAAAAAACATTTATATTCTCTCCCTGTCAGATGAAAAACTCACTGCCTTGCACGCCTCTTGAGTCCAGGATTAAAGCTGAACTCCAGGCGAAATGCCAAACAAGACATTGAAATACATCTATGCAGGGGCATAACTATGAATCATGGGGCCCCATAGCAATTTTTAAAGGGGGCCCCCCCAGCTAGCTCTCTGCAGAAACTAGCTGCGTGTGTGACAATGCTGTACATGCCATTGTTCTTAACATTAAGTATGCTTAACTCAAGGAGAGGTAGCAAGAGAGCTGTCAGCATATTGAGTACATGACTGGGGAGCAGCGCTTTGGATAAAAATGATAGTTGTGGTAGTTACAATAATAATATTCATCATAATAATAACAACAACAACAATAATAATAGCTTATATTATGCTACTAATGCAGTTTCACACATTAACTCTATAACTCTTATACAAACTTTAGTACAAGGACAATACATCTACACGGCTAGATAAGCAAATCCTTCTTACTGTATAAGAGGGGGATCTATGACTAGTGACAATCCTGAGGTCTGACTTCAGCCCTACTATACTGGAAGCGTCACAGTTTTGACATTCTTAACAGCCAACCTATTGGGGTCCCCTCTAACCCCAGGCCCCATAGCAAATATGTGGGCTGCTCCGGCTATAATTATGCCACTGCTTTATGGCAACTGCTCTGCCTGCCAAAAGATTTGGGATCTCAACAGCACTGTAGCTCACGATATACTGAGCTTTGGGTCACGGGAGGATGTTAGAATATGTCCTCCCATGATCCTTAAGAGAACTATGGGGAAAAACACTTACCCCATAGTTCTCTTTTAAGCAATACAGCAGAGTTTGTGCTCACTCTGCTCTCCTGCTGTCAGCATGTTTCCTTCAGCACATGTGCAAGAATCCTCCCGGCTGTGTAGAGGGTAACAGAAACTATAATCAAGTTAGATACACCATTTAAATTAAAACACACAAAGACCTTTCAAATATAGTTTTTATATTTTAAAATTCAACTTTTAAAAATATTCTCCATCCTCTCTGGATCCCACGTGGGCACTCCTTTTTATGAAGTATGGCTGAGATCACCTTCTCACCATACCGCCATTCACTGTAAAGTATTAGACTTCGTATGGAGAATCGCACAATTTTTTTATTTTCATGATTGTTACTTAGGCCAGGTTCACACCTGGGCGATCCATGACCGCGCGGCAATCGTGCACAAACCGTGCGGATGGCTGCGCAGTCACGGAATCGCACACCACCACTGATCGCGCTGGTTGTGCCATCCTCTTCTAATGGCGCCCCAGTCGCGCCAGGCATTGTGCGGTTCCCTGACGTGAGTCCACCTGTGCAGTAGCGCAGGATCGCGGCTAAAAAAATGCGTGATGTGTGTCGCAAGAAAAGGTACATGTATAACCCCATTGAAATCAATGGGGCCAAGCGGCAACCCCTGTGTGCAACCGCACAGGATCGCGTAGTCCCGGGACACATGTCCCAGGATCGCCCAAGTCTGCACCTGGCCTAAAAACTAATTTACCTTCCCCTCTAGATCACGTCTTAGCATTATTCTTTCTTTTACCTTGTTCCTGGAACATCTTTTAATTCTCCTTGTGACATTTTCACCAGGCTTGTAGAAATTTTGCAGGGGCAGCTGCTGGGAGCTCAGTTTCTATTGATGTAGGCACACCCCCAGAGCTACATCTCCCAAGGGCATTTTCCCTACAAACAGTGTGTGGACAGTCTCTTAGGAGTCAAGGCAGCAGCATTGTTTTGCTTAGAAAGAATTCAATGTACTGTATACATGTATACACAGTGACAGCCCTGGTTTTAAGGGTTAAACAGTTAGCAATCAAATTCTATTAATTGTGGGCTCATCTTTAAGGCAGCTCTCAGGATGAATGTAACCAAGGAGGAGGTATAGAAAGAGGGAGGTTATTTAATCCAGCAGGAGAAAACTGGGCAGGGCTGACAACACTGGGTTTTCAGTGTAGCAGAGGCAGAGTTGTTGGGTCACTACAGTAAGAAAGAAGCATACTGGATTTCTGGCAGGATCAACACTTTTTTGGGGTAGTTTCAGCATTTCTTAAAGTATGAAACATGCACGCAGTGCAGAGATGTACTGCATATGTTTTTTTGCTACCCAGCATTATATAGTGTTACAACACTGTGCCTTGATTCTTGCCTCCTTCCCTCATTCTTGGGACAACTGACCTCTACAACCTCCTCAGTGACTCCTGTGGAAGATAAAGGGTTGACGCATCCTGCTAGCCTAACATATTTACCATTTGTTTCAGCGTGATCTGGATTTCACAGTAGAACTGGATTTCAAAGGCCAGCTGTGTGAAGCCTCAATATCTCACGACTACAAAATGCGTTAGGACAACGTCCCATTAACCCTCTACCTGCCATACTTGAAGCCACTGGGTTCTTCGGAAGCTGCACGGCGATGGGAAAGCGAGCCCGTAGCAACGAAGACTAACTGTGCTGGCAACGGAAAAGGGATGAAACAAAGCGAATCAAAAATAAATTTGACGTATTTAAGCTGTTGAAGGTAGCTAATAAATGAAATGAGCAACTATGTTGTGTTTACTGGTTAATTGTGATCTGAGATAGGAATTGTTGTTTTGGGAACTGAAAGTCTTTGATTTGTAAAGAAGATGCTTGAATTGCTTGTATTTTGGCAATAAATTGGTATACACTATAAGATGTGGAATCTTTCTGCTATGGATACAAAAACAAGTGTTGAAATCATTGTACAGCTTGACGTGTGCCGGGCAGATTCATTTTCTACTGGTAAGAAATGAAAAATGTGACCCCAAGTACCATGTTCTCTTTCAAAAAAACTCTTTGTAAATAAAGGATTCATGCATCAATTACTGTAACCATTTAAAGCCTGGATTGCAACGGCAGCAAAATCGTGGAATGTTAATATGGCATGAACGTCATAGAACATCACAATCTACATGTACAACTCTACAACTGTGAAATGTTGTGTACTAATATTTTGTATCTTTACATCCTCTTGTGTACTTTGCACATTTTCCAACCTTTTTTTAATCTGCTTTATTGATAAAAAGTCTTGTTACAGAGCTCTATAGCTTAAGCTGGGATTTACAAACATAAGTGGTCAGAGCAGTAAATCATCGCCCTTTTATCTTTGTCTATATGTACAACAATTAGCCATAACATTATAACCACTGTCAGGTGAAGTGAATGAATAACATTGATTACCTCCTTACAATGGTACCTGGAAGTGGGAGGGATATATTAAGCAGCAAGTGTGCATTTTGTCCTTGACGTTGATGTGTTGGAAGCAGAAAAAAATGGGCAATTGTAAGGATTTGAGCAAAGAAGATTCAATGATTCAATTACTTTCTTATTAAACTCAGAATAAATTTGTTTATACATTTAACATTAAATAATACAATTTAGTTAAAAAAGTTGATCAACAAAATAAGCACCTAGGGCAACAGTGGCAGTCCACAAGGTAAATTAATAACTTATTAATGCTTATGAACCAACAACTCGTATTTACTGAGATCTCCAGACAGTAGTCTGTTCAAATCGAGTATTAGCAACAAATATTTTACAAACAGGACAAATTCAACACAAAAGATAGAAGATACGTAATGGAGAAGGGATGTTTCCCATAACAACCAATCAGATTCAGCTTATTTTTCTCAATATAGTTTCAACTAATGTGCAAAAAAAAATCCCAATTTTCCTGTGACCTTTCCCTATAGTAAAACAGAAGGTTTTTTTAATCTAATTTAAGCAATGGTGGAACTCCCAATACCATGTTTTATTAGCAGTGTGTGATGTAGAAAAAGACCAATGCAAGGAATACAATGAACCCAAAACGAATTGCTGATTTTTAGGGACAAACTGCAATATCACTTTTCACCAGCAGGAGGCAGGGTTGCCAGTAAAACCTGGAAAAGATAGAAAATACAGGGTCTACTTATAAATCTTATGCCCAGCCATACACTGGTCAAATGCCGCTCACATGGCATTCCTGCCACTAGATGGAGCAGAAGAATTTCCTCTGCTCCCTAGCTCCACCCAGTGGTGGAAGAGCTGAGCGAGGGACATTCGCCCAGCATACGGCTGGGCAGAAGATTTATCAATAGACCCCTTAATTTAGGTAAAATGCAACAGCTACCTGCTGAATTATCTTTGTCAATTTTCAGTTTTCCAGGAACTCTCCTTTAAGAGAATGATAAAAAAAAAACATCAGTTTGGTTATTATGGGCATCGTCATCAGCCTTCCCCACATATATTATACACAGGCCCAAAACATTTATTACAAAACAGCAATGTTTTCAAGTGCAATGTCAAAAGACTATCATTCTTAATTGGTACAGGAGTGCAAAGAGAGCGGTAATAGTGTGCAAAGCCTTGTGTACTGTAGCAACCAACCATATTTCAGTTTACTGAAGTCGGATCAGTGAAAAATGAATTCTCATTTGCTTTGCAGTTTGCGTTTGGGTTACTTTGCAGTTGAACAAATGAAATCTAATTTTGCTCTCTGCAGCTGTTTATTCTTATCTGGATTTTTCTCCCCCATCACTATGTGTGCTTGTGGGAGCAAAGAGAAGTACTGTTGGAGCTTACACAGGTATGAGGAGTCTCTTCCAATATTACAGAGTTGAGTGCCTAAGCAACCAAGCACCAGAGCTGTCACATGAGAGGGGGGGGGGGGGGAACAAAGCCCAAAGGTTTCACCGGGGGGGGGGGGGGGGGGGCTGAGTCATATGCTCCCCCATACCTGGAAGTAACGGGTAGATATCTCTTTGCTTTTCAGGGTGAACAGAGTGGCAGAAGGTAGATGGGAAGGTAAAATAATTGAATACGGTGAATTACGTCATGCCTATA